TATTAGCTCCTTGAATGTTCCTTGGGTAAGTAGGTATCTCTGTGTATGGGTTAATGTCACTGGAAAATATCAGGCAGCTTGTTTTTAGATTTCTGCAGGAACTAGGTCTGGTGTTCTGTTTCTTTGTCTCATTAATAGAGATAGAGGATATGAGAATGCATTGGCATGCTCTCAATTTCTGAACAATACTCTCTGGCTAACCAAGAGAATACTGGGAAATAAAACGACGAATTATTTTGTGCCAGTTAAAACAACTAATCTGATTCTAACTCAATGTGTGTGTTTAATTGTTTATGTTGCAGCTTGGATATGTAATCTACAGACGGGTGCTCCGCTACTACTCTGGAGAGGAAGATGGCTTAGGTAGGCATTGTGAGATCATATGCTGAAGTATCATCACCAAACTCCTTTCATGTTCTTTTCCCCAGATTGTTTCTCAACTTGTAATTTTTTTCTTTTGTGATGTTTTTTCAGATATGAGGAAAGCTTTATCTCGTGACGTGGACAAGAAATCAATCATCCCTCTTAAACGGCCTATTACTCCCGACGAATTAGAGTACGATTAAGTATCAAACGCCGATACCTTAGCTTAACGATGATGTCTGTTGAGCTTGACAGCAGTGGAAGAAGCTACTCCGTGATATATTCTTGTAATTTATGGTTTGATGCTTGGTGAGTCCCATTTCAGATATTGCCAGGGCCGTCATCCTCTGGCTAGAACGTGGTAGCGCTTGAAACAGTTACTTTGTGTAAGCTTAGAAGGCATTCCCCTATTATTGCTCCTCTCTTTAGCCATAGTGCTTTGTATGAGTGCTTCGCTAGGGAAAAACATAAATGGTAGCAACTCAATATCTGCTTTATTCGTTCTCCAGAGAAGATCAAACCTGTAAACTTATTATCCGCAGCGATTGAAGCCCTCATTTTTAAGCTGTGAGTTAATAGTGGTTGTACTTGTATTTTCTTTTTGCAGAACTAATTCTATTGTTTAAGTGAAGCCCGCAGGATTATTCACATCCTTTTTAGTTCTTACATAATACGAAGTACCTTCTGTTCCCTCTGCTTCTCATGGCAAATTCATATCCCATCTGCGTCTTCTGTTTCCCTATGAAATGGGTTATGGTGATTACTTGTTTTTTAAGTAATCATGCCGGCCGCTGCAGCGGCCTACCTCCCCTCCGGTTACCCCCGACCACCGCTGCGTGTACCCTCTCTCTCTCTCTCTGGGAGACGGCTGCATGAGATGACGTGGAGGAGACGCCTTTGGAGTGACGGGGATGGGAATTCCGATCGAACAAGGAGGGCGCACAACAACAGCCTTATCATTCAACAACGATGTCAATGATATTTATTTGGTCTTCACAGTGGTAGTGATTTGATTTATGGAATGATATTGTTTTGTTTGTATTGTAGTAGTGGTGCTGGTTGATTTTGGTATTGGTTTGATTCTTTTTTTAGATAAGGGTGATATAGGTTACTTTTTTGTTATTAGGTACTACGGAAGGGACTCGAACCTGGGACCTCCAGGTTCATCGCTAGTGGTATTACCACTAGACCAATCCCTTGTTCGTTGGTATTGGTTTGATTCTTATAATGGTATAGATTATTTATATTGGTAGATTTTGCCGTGTAATGGTACTATTTTTTCCGTAGTTGTATTGGTTGTATTTGTTCCTCTCGATTGGTTGTATTGGTATAGTTTTTTTTTTTTTTTTATGTTTTGGCATTGATTTCTTGTTTTATTTCTATAATGATATTGGTATTTCTGGAAGTGGTCAAGCAACTCATTTTCAATATTGAATATCAATCCATCGAAACAGATATACGCTAATAACACAATGTAAACACTACTAATAAAATTTAGCATCACTACCAAAACAATAAGCACCAGAATACCATTCCTACCCATTGTAAACACTACCAATAAAATTTAGCATCACTACCAAAACAATAAGCATCATAATACCATTCCTACCCAATGTAAACACTACCAATAAAATTTAGCTTCACTACCAAAACAATAAGCACCAGAATAGCATTCCTACCCTACCCTTTCCCTATATGTACTTGTCCATCCATCATCATGAATTCATGATCATGAATCATTGTTAATTATTCCCCTAGGGGCGAAAACCGACTTGTAGTAATGGCGCTTATGATGAAGCTTTACAGAGAATTAACGAAGGATTCTAATTCGATAACACCCGAGCTCTATGCGGCAGTTGGTTTCCGGGACTAAGATAGTGCTCTGTTTTTTATAATGTGAAAGGCGGTGTTCGTTCAGCCCCAATCAAAGGTCGCCATTGTTTTTTATTTTTATTTATATAAGGGTACTCGTGAGCGTGGAGTATCCCAATGGAGTAAACCGCAGGTGGGGTGACGGTTTTTAAAAAAGGGTGGTATTTTTGAAATTTTTGGGGTTGGGTTGTATTTTTGAAATTCTTTTTTTAAACATGGTACTTTTGGATTTTTTTCCGAATTTGACGTGTTGTTGTAATAAAAAGTGTTGTTGTAATAAAAAGTAGAAACAGGACGACAGGACGAGTTGATGTTCCACTTGGGATACACATTTTAGAAATGCTTCCGGGTTAAAGAAACTAGCAAATGGAACACACAGTTTGAAGGCTGTTTTGTTGGCCAATAGAATATCGGCTTCTACAAAGCTTTCCAGATTCATGAAACTACCGAACTAGCAATTCCATTGATCTGTACCTTCCACGCTTTTTGGAGAAAGAAAACGATAAGAAGAGAGTTGAAGTACAACAATTCTTGGCTAAGCTATGGGACCACTTTATTTCCATGTGAACAGAGGAATGCAAAACAAGTTTCGGGATCCGCCAGTAAAGTGGCAGAGCAGTATAAAGAGTCTGAGTGAGTTCGTAAGACATGAGAGCCAGAGGAATTTACTAGTCTACATCTTACAATGTTAGCATTCTAAGCTACTGCACTCTGTTCTTGATGCTCCGGAACCCATTCACGAGGCCACCATTTCGGTCTAAAAGCTTCGACCTTTACATCTTTCTGACCCTCTAAGGCCAAAGAACCTGATCCTTTGAATGCATCATCCAATCTCAAAAGTCCGAGCCCTCGGCAGCCAATTGCTGTTGTCACAGATCCTATTTTCTTGCCTGAACTGGTATCAATCACATGTGAACCGAGAGAAACTCGCTGTTCCACCTCTGGGGAGAAAAACATTGGAAAGTAGTAATACATTAGCAAAAATGAGATATTCAATTGTAGCCAGAGAAGCAAATCACTTATTGAACGTGAAGTTTAAACCTTTTCCATCGTTGTTAACAAACTTCAAAGGAACCAAGCGTTTACGAATGACCCCTCTGTGGTGTGTCCTGGCCACAAGTTCCTGACCCACATAGCAACCTTTATCAAAGCTTATTGCATTTAATCCCACGAGGTTGAATTCAAGCGGAATGGCCTCGCCTTTTGGTATCTCGGATGAGCCTTCTGCAACTCCATTCTCGATTCTCCATACTAAGTAGTTCTCCTCACTTGTTTCCTTATCAGCCTCAACTAAGGGTGCTGCAGTAGAATCAGCAAATCTGTCAACTAAGCATCAGGCTGCTTGATATCGATCAACACACGTCCTGATAATACGAAAGACTCACGGGTTGTATTAGTTGGGAAGATCCCTCTCAAACCAAGGCAATCCAGTCTAGGATCCTTGAACCATTGCCATCCACCATCACTGCCATGTGAGGCTGAAATACCAGCAAGATCAACACCAGATCCCCATCCAAGACCTGCTGCCCCTGGCTCTTCTACTTCACTAGATTTCTCGCTGATATCTCCCCCAAATCGCTGCCAGCATTGAAAGTCTTCCCCTACATTCTCAATCTCAACCTTAGACCTTAGCCGGTACCTGCCAAATCATAACCACCAAACATAGCTCCCCAACATCATCACCTAGCTACCACCATTTTCCCACAACACAATGAAGAGCATTCAGAAAGATTCAATAAATCTACACCTAACAAAAGAAACTTCCCCACAAAGCTCTAAGAAAATCCAATGGTATTCAATCATTCTAGACTAACTTAAGGGAAAGCTGGAGCTGACCTTTTTAACGTTTGTAAGAGCTCATCAAGAGCGGAAGCATCCACATCGGCGAACAATTCGGTACACTCAGTGGATCCCAAACCGGGACCCGAACCCGTCGGGTCAAGCTTCTCGGCCTCCTTCGCGGGCCTATAGAGAAAGAAATCGTACAGAAACCTGCCCTGGGGAGTCAGCAGGGCGGCGTACATCGGCGGCTCGGAGACGGCGGGCATATTCGGAGTGGGGATTGTCGCGATCCGTTCGTGCGGCGGCTCGCCGAATCTCCGGACATCGTTGGTGAGAAGTCCTTGGAGGAATTTAAGGGTGTCGGGGCCGGAGAAGCGGACTACCGACCGAGATTTGAGGAGGGAAGCGACAGGACCGGCGGAGTTCACGGCGCTGGAGTGGGAGCGGCGGCCGGCGGCGGCGAGGAAAGTTTTCGAAGAACTAAACTGGCGCATTTTCTGACGACGTTCTGGGCTTGGACTGCGGGAGGAATGGACGGTGGGAAATTGCTCCGTAGGAAGTTAGGCTTGCACGAGCACGTGGAGGTTTGTGGGTCCTCCGTTTTGATTACCACGTGGAGCGTTTAGGAGACGTCAGCTAGAAATGGACGCCATCGCGAGATTCCTTCGTCGACGAAGAGGGGTTAGAGACTCGTTAGGGGGTATTGTCACATGTGGCAGATGACATGGCGCCAACAAGGTGACAACATGGCGGCTGCATATGTGGCATGTATGGAAGACTAGTAGCATAGAGATGCTTCTAGGATTCTCCACCTTAATGGAGAGCTTAATGGTGCACTTATGAGTCACATAATGGGTGACATTTATAGAGTGCATAATGGGGGGACTTAATGAGGTGTATTGATGTAGAGGGACATTATGAGGGGCATTGATGCCTTGTATGAGGAGAGGCCTATATAAGGAGCCATCTCCCTCACTTGTAACTCATTCCATCATTTTTTAGAGTAATACACACTAGAGAGTTCTCCCACTTCTTTGTCTTTGCTTCATTGTTCTTTGCTTGCTTGTGAGTTTGAGAGAAGGCTGCCTAGTGCTCTCGGAATTGAGAGCTAGGGCCGCACGATCGAGAGTAAGGTCGTGACAAGTGGTATCAGAGCCTGGTTCAGCTTTGTGCTAGCAAAGTAGAAGCCATAGCCAGACGAAAAGGAAGAGCCTCACCAAAAATGTCGGGATCAGAAGTCAATGACGACATTGAGAAGCAGCGTGGCAGAGATCCTACCCCAGGAGGGAGGTCAAAAGGCACGTCGAGTACTTGTGATCCTCTCAAGTCTCTAGAGAGGCGAGTCTCGAGGATGGAGAAGCTTGGCGAAGATGTCTCTTCCATCGAGGATTTGGGAGCTAACTTCGCCCAAGTCCAAAGCGATGTTCAAGGAATGGCTGGTAGGTTGACAAGCTTGGAGATCAACCATGATGGGATGCGAGAAGAGCTTGTGGCTCTCATCACCAACACCATCTCCGAAACCGTGAGCACCGCCATTGCCGTTGTGAAAGAGCATGTCCAGGCTGAGCTGGTCGACGTGAAGGAGGAGATTGCAGACCTCAAGAGTGAGGTCACTCTGGTGAAGAGAGCCATGGCTAGCGGACCAGCCCCGGTGCAATCCGTCCCACGTGCTGATGTTCCAAGACCGAAGAACTTTGGAGGTTCAAGGAACGCGAGGGAGTTAGAGAACTTCCTGTGGAGTCTTGAGCAATACTTCAAGGCATCCGGCATCCAAGAGGATGAGGTAAAACTTCGTACCGCTCCACTATACTTGGTTGATGTTGCAATGGTGTGGTGGAGGAGACGTGAAGCGGACGTCAAAAGAGGTACTTGTGTGATGGTAACGTGGGAAGATTTCAAGAGTGAAATCAAGAAGCAGTTCTACCCAGAGAACGTGGAGTTTGAAGCCCGTTCGAAGTTGAGAAGACTCACCCAAAGGGGTGGAGTTCGAAAATATGTGAAAGAATTCTCGGAGCTGCTTCTAGAGATCTAGGACATCACGAACAAGGAGGCCATGCACGGCTTTCTTGATGGGCTGCAACCATGGGCCAAGATGGAGATGCAACGTCGAGGAGTGCAAGACCTTGCAACTGCCATGGCCACGACAGAGTCTTTTGTTGAGTACAAAAGGCAAGAGAGCAGCGGCAAAGAGAAGAGTTCAAAGCCCAACAAGGGTGGAGAACAGCAGAAGCCTTTCAAGGAGGGTTCTCGCACTCAACAACACCAAGGTGGTTCGAGCAAAGGGGGTAAGTACGAACCAAAGCCCGTATCTTGTTTCCTTAGAGACGGACCATATCGAGTGCGGGATTGCCCAAGGAGGGCGAGATTGGCGGCCATGGAAGCTCAAGATGAGGAGCCCAAGACGGCGGAGGCCAAGATTGGCTCAATCCGCAAGCTTGGCGCGGTGAAGACCAACGTCAAGGAGAGCAAGCGCGGGAGGAGCTACGTTCTGGCGCAATTCATGCAAGGCGAATCAAAAGCCTTTGTGGATACCGGTGCCACGGACAACTTCCTTCGCATCGAGGAGGCAAACCGGCTGGGTATTGCCTATGAGAAGGGGAAAGGGAGGCTCAAGACGATCAACTCGGAGTCCATCCCGATCCATGGAGTTGCTCACAATGTGCTAGTGAAGCTCGGCGAGTGGGAAGGTCTCATCGACTTTTCCGTCATCACCATGGACGATCACCCAGTCATCCTCGCCATCAACTTCCTCGACAAGGAGGGAGTGCTCTTGAAGCCCAACTCCAACACGATGTGCTTGGGGAAGGAAGGGGAGTTCCATGCGGTCCATCTCTTGAGAGAAGATGGCCTCCATAGTGCTCTATCGGCTATGCAGGTATTGAAGGGGTTCAAGAAGAATGAACCAACCTTTCTTGTGTCCTTGAAAATGGAGGAAGAAGGAGGCTCAACGGGAATCACAACTCCCATCATCGAAGGCGTCCTCGAAGAGTTTGATGACGTGATGCCATCGGAGTTGCCCAAGAAGCTGCCACCAAGAAGAGAGGTGGACCACAAGATCGAGTTGGAGCTAGGAGTGAAGCCCCCTTCGCGAGCACCATACCGCATGTCGCCACCGGAGTTAGAAGAATTGCGGAGGCAGCTCAAGGACTTGTGACACGCCAAAACACTTCGCCAAACTGCGACCAAGTGTAATCGCAGTCCGGGAATGCAGTAACAGGCAAGTTCTATTATCAACCCGGGGTCTAGATCTACTGCCTACTCCGTGATTATCTATTATCTAGCCAACTAAGTCGAGTGAATGTTGTTTTAACTAAAAGCAGTAAAAAGCCGGAAATGGTTCGGTTTTCTCAAGCAAAGAAGAGTCACTCGGGAAATGAGTCCCCCTAGCTCCTTAGTTAGGTTCAATTGTAATTACCCTGGGTTGATTTACTGTTGATTAGACTGCGGAAGATCCGACAGTAGCTTGGAATCTCTTAACCTGACCAAGCCCTCTCAGTCTAACTACCCGGCAGACGACTAGTCTTCACCGGGACAGAAAGCTGAAGCAATGAGCACAGAACTCCACTACTGGAATTGGATTCCAGTACAAAGCAGTAAACTGGCTAACTCTCGTATAACCAATCTCCTACTATCGAATGAAGAAGCTCTAACAACCTAATCAGATTCTATCTATCTCAGGTTGCAGTAGAAATCAAGAAAAGCTGATCAGACTTCAATCAATTCAATAAAACATGCATCATTCGATTAAAACCAAACAGTATAATCATCCCAAGTCATTACAATCAAATCCCTAACACATGGAACTAGGGTTCTTCATACCCAAGTGAGAGAAGGGTTCTACTCCATAAAGAGAGAGAGAGAGGAAAACAGAAATCAGAGTAGTCATACTCATAAAGATGAGGAAAATCTGCTCTGGGGTGATGATTTCCACTCCTATGACGATCTCCAAGCTCGATTCGATGAAACCCAGCTCCAAGATAGCTTCTAGGATGTGTTCTTCGCACTTTCTCTCTCTAGGGCTCTGTTTTTGCTCTCAAAATTCGATTCTCTCACTTGTGGCCCGAAATTGGGTAAAACCCTGAAAATCCCGATCACACGGGCAGGCCACACGACCGTGTAGCATACCCAGTTGACCGTGTGGCTTCCAAAATGCCGCGTCTCGATAAGTCGAACTTCAGGCTTCCCACACGGCCAGAGTCACACAGCCGTGTGGAAATTCAGCCCTACCAGTGTTTGCTCTCGTAGAATTCCACACGGCCACATTGCTCCTTCACATGGCCGTGTGGAATTTATTTGTGCCCGTGTGAAGGCTCGCACAATCCCACACGGCCACATTGGTCACTTGCACGGCCGTGTGGTGTTTGTGTGTGCCCATGTGGCTTCCTCAGCGGCTTGCCTTGCGCCCGATCTTCGTCCAATCGACCTCGAACTCGCTCCTAAACCTTCATTCACTTACTAGGACCTAAAATATCACAAACAAGCACAACCTAGCGTGAAATTGGCCTAAAACACGAGAATCAACACCTCAAACGGCTCAAGAATATGGGTGAAAACATGTGCAATTAGCGGTCTATCAACTTGGTGGACGCAGGCTACATGCGGCCATCGAAGTCGCCTTTTGGGGCACCGGTGCTGTTCCAAAAGAAGAAGGAAGGGTCGTTGCGCATGTGCATCGACTATAGAGCCATCAACAAGTTGGCAGTGAAGAACAAGTGGCCGATTCCCAACATTGCCGACTTGTTCGACCAGCTTGGAGAAGCGATGTGGTTCACCAAGCTTGATCTTCGCTCGGGCTACTATCAAGTGCGGATAGCAGAGGGCGACGAGCCAAAGACGGCTTGCGTGACGAGGTATGGCTCTTACGAGTTTCTTGTGATGCCATTCGGTCTCACCAACGCACCAACCACGTTTTGCACTTTGATGAATCAAGTGTGCGAGCCATTCTTGGACCAGTTTGTCGTGGTCTACTTGGATGACATCGTCGTGTATAGCAAAACACTCGATGAGCATGCCGAGCATCTACGCCAAGTCTTTCAAGTCCTTCGCGACAACGAGTTATACGTCAAGAGGGAGAAGTGCTTATTTGAAGCCACGGAGGTTCCATTCTTGGGGCACATCATTGGTGGAGGCAATTTGAAGATGGATGGGGCGAAGGTGCAGGCAATCCAAGAATGGGAGCCGCCGACGAAGGTGCCAGAGTTGCGGTTATTCCTCGTCCTTGCCAACTACTATCGGAGGTTTATCAAGGGCTACTCCAACATTGCATCATCCTTGACGGATCTCTTGAAGAAGAACAAGGCGTGGGATTGGTCGGAAAGGTGCCAAGAAGCATTCGAGGCCTTGAAGACAGCAGTGATGAAGGAGCCCGTGCTCGTGCTCCCCAACCCGATGTTGGCCTACGAAGTGCAGACCGATGCATCCGACTTCGCGATTGGAGGTGTGTTGATGCAAGATGGGCATCCCATTGCCTTCGAGATTCGGAAGCTCAGCGAGACGGAGAGGCGATACACAGTTCAAGAGAAGGAGATGACGGCTGTGGTGCATTGCTTGCGCACATGGAGGCACTACTTGTTGGGGTCAAATTTCGTAGTGAAGACGGACAACGTGGCAACGAGCTACTTTCTGACGCAGAAGAAGCTCACCCCTAAGCAAGCGAAGTGGCAAGACTTTTTGGCCGAGTTCGACTTTGTCTTGGAGTACAATCCAGGCAAGGAGAATTTTGTTGCAGATGCTCTTAGCCGCAAGAGTGCAGCCGCAAGCATCAGCCAGCCCATGTTTCCTTTGAAGGAGCGGATCGTCGAAGGCCTTGGACATGACCCCTTCGCCAAAACCATAGCGGAGTACATCAAGCAAGGTAAGACTCGACGGTTTTGGATGAAGGATGGGCTCATCATGACCAAGAGAGAGCGAGTGTTCGTGCCAAGATGGGCCAACTTGAGAAAGGAGATCATGAAGGACTTCCATGATTCCAAGTGGGCGGGTCATCCCGGCATCGAGAGAACGCAAGCGCTCATCGAAGAAGCATACTTCTGGCCATGAGAGACGACGTGGAGATGTATGTGAAGACTTGTCTTGTGTGCCAACAAGACAAGATGGATTAGAGAAGCCCGACAGGCTTACTAGAGCCCTTGCCCATGCCTCAACGACCATGGGAGAGTGTAAGCATGGACTTCATCATCGGACTTCCCAAAGTCGATGGATGCGGTTTCATCATGGTTGTGGTGGACAGGTTCTCGAAGTATGGAGTGTTCATTCCTAGGCCAAAAGACTTAACGGCATAGGATGCGACACGTCTTTTCTTCAAGAACGGGGTCAAGTATTGGGGCATTCCTGGCAACATCGTAAGCGAAAGAGATGGACGCTTCACGGGCAGGTTTTGGCGAGTGAATGCCTTGTTGGAGGTGTACTTGCGGCACTACGTGAGTGCAAACCAACGAGATTGGGTGAAGTTGATGGATACGGCACAATTCTCCTCCAACTTGCACCGCAGCGAGTCGACCAACACGAGTCCATTCGAGTTGGCGACGGAGCAACAACCTTTGACACCTACGACGGTGGCAACAGGATATAGAGGCAACAGTCCAGCAGCCTACAAGTTCGCTAAAGGCTGGGACGAGAAGATGGAGATGACCAAGTATTACTTAGCCCGCGCTAGTAAGAAGACGAAGAAATGGGTGGACAAGAAAAGGCGGCACTTGGAGTTTGAAGAGGAAGACATGGTAATGGTGAAGTTCTACCCTCATCGCTTCAAGCATCTCAAGAACGTGCACAAGGAACTGCTTCGCCGCTATGAAGGGCCATTCCCCATTGTGAAGAGGATTGGCAAGGTGGCGTACAAGGTGGAGGTGCCGTCGCACTTAGAGATCCATCCGGTCTTTCATGTGAGCCAACTCAAGGCTTTCCACGAAGACAAGGAGGATGAGCAGCGAAGAGAGTCACAACGCGCACCAACATTCATCACCAAGACACACGACCATGAAGTTGAAGAAATCATGGCGCGTCGTGTCATTCCTCGTTGTGGCGTACATCCAAGATTTTTGGAGTACTTGGTCAAGTGGCGCAACCTTCCGGAGAGTGAAGCAACTTGGGAGAAAGAGCTCACGCTTTGGAAGAACAAGGACTTGATCGAGGCATTCCATCAAGATGACGCAACGAGGGCGTCGCGAGCATAGGTGGGGGAGGATGTCACATGTGGCATATGACATGGCGTCAACAAGGTGACAACATGGCGGCTTCACATGTGGCATGTATGGAAGACTAGTAGCATAGAGATGCTTCTAGGATTCTCCACCTTAATAGAGAGCTTAATGGTGCACTTATGAGTCACATAATGGGTGACATTTATAGAGTGCATAATAAGGGGACTTAATGGGGTGTATTGATGTAGAGGGACATTATGAGGGGCATTGATGGCTTGTATGAGGAGAGGCCTATATAAGGAGCCATCTCCCTCACTTGTAACTCATTCCATCATTTTTTAGAGTAATACACACTAGAGAGTTCTCCCACTTCTTTGTCTTTGCTTCCTTGTTCTTTGCTTGCTTGTGAGTTTGAGAGAAGGCTTCCTAGTGCTCTAACGGAATTGAGAGCTAGGGCCGCACGATCGAGAATAAGGTCGTGACAGTAAGCAATGGGAGGGTTGGGTGGGTTTTGGTTTCAAATTGACTCATTCGCTTACTAACGAGTTGGAATAATTGTGACCCGTAATTCACATACATATCTCTGTAGATTGGGTTGGGTGGATGGCGGATGGGTGCGGTTGGGTCGTGAGTCAACCCGCAAAATCAATTCTCCAACTAGTCATTAAGAAAGTTGACTAACATTTATAATAAGTTTATAACATTTGGTCGGGAGGCTTGAAGCAACGTCATCCTTCACAGGGCAACGCCCGGCGGCGGCCTTGACACAACCACAGGCAGCTCGGCGATCATTCATAATGGGGGTATTGGCCTTCTAGCTACGGACTCTGCGGAGCATATGGGGGCAGGGTTGCCGCCGCCGGTGGTGAAGTAAGGAACACGATTGCATTGGGTACACTAGTAGCACAAAGATCTTACAGATTCCACCAATTGGACGGGTATTTACGGGTAATATGGGTACCCGTTATCCGTCCCGTACGGGTAATGGGTACCCGCCAACCCGTACGGGTTTGGGACATGGGATGGAGATTACTCTTCAAATGGGATTGGGTACCCATTTCAAATGGGACGGGTATCCCGTCCCGTTGCCCACCCATATCCGCTTACTAACGAATTGGAATAATTATGACCCGTAATTCACATACATACCTCTGCAAATTGGGTTGGGTGGGTGGCGGATGGTTGCGGTTGGGTCGTGGGTCAACCTGCAAAATCAATTCTCCAACTAGTCATTAAGAAAGTTGACTAACATTTATAATAAGTTTATAGCAAATAGTAAGACTATCAATAATTTTTTATTTTGATACAATTAATAATTTATAGTTTGCATTCCAATATTTAGTTGATATTAACAATAATTTATAAAGGTGGCAAATGGATTGGATTGGTGGATCCATGGATCAAATGGATTGGATCTAATGGATTGGTGGATTCATGGATTGGATCAAGTGAATTGGTGAATTATCCATGAATCCAAATGACATCCTCAATCAAGGACCAATATGTAAAATGTAAAAAGTTTAGGTACTAAAATGTCATAATGAAAATTTTTAGGTACCAAAACGTAATTTTCTAATAATATTTTTCGTATTAAAAATTAAATTTTAGGTACCAAAATGTAAAAAATAAAAAATATAGGTACTAAACTGTAATTTGCTAATGATCCATAAATCCAATCCATGAATCCACCAATCCAATTGAATTTGGATCAAATGGATTGGATTAGTTGGATATTTTTAATGGATTGATGGATTAGATTGAAAATTGCCACCTCTAATAATTTACATACCAATATCTAATATCTAATTGATATTGCACAACAAAATACCAATAATAGTAGTGAAAACTATTATTTAGTCTCCACCTTTTGAAGTATATGGTCAGACTGTAGTGAAGTTCGAAAATATGATGAATATTCTATACTATAAGAAACAACATTTTCATGTAAAAATAGGATGCGGGTCATACGGGTGACCCGCAATCCACCCACCTTTGTCACGGACCAACTCTTGGCCGTGCGGCACTTAGCACTCAAGTCTCGTTAGAGCGCTAAGTCAGCCTTCCTCGTATTCACTTGAACTCACAAGTTGGGAGAAAAGCTCTAGATATGGAAAGTTCTCTTATTTCTGGATGAATGACAAATGAGGGAGATGGCTGCTTATATAGGCATCTTCTCCACTTAGAGGTGGCAAATGGATTGGATTGGTGGATCCATGGATCAAATGGATTGGATCTAATGGATTGGTGGATTCATGGATTGGATCAAGTGGATTGGTGGATTATCCATGAATCCAAATGACATCCTCAACCAAGGACCAAAACGTAATTTTCCAATGATATTTTTCGTATAAAAAATCAAATTTTAGGTACCAAAATGTAAAAAATAAAAATTGTAGGTACTAAACCATAATTTGCCAATGATCCATGGATCCAATCCATGAATCCACCAATCCAATTGGATTTGGATAAAATGGATTGGATTTAAATGGATTGGATTAGGTGGATATTTTTAATGGATTGATGGATTGGATTGGTGGATTGGATTGAAATTGCCACCTCTATCTCCACTAAGTACAATGTATGTGGCCGTCATAAATGAACGAACCTAGAAGTCCCCCCATACATTAACTTGCCCCATACATGAATGTAATTAATAAGGTGCATGAATAAAGATAAATTGGGGGGGATGCATATACATTGGTGCATGAATCGGAAGATGCATGCATGTACTTGCATCCTTCTAGAATGCTCTAGAATCTTCCTCATGACATTTTCCCCCACTTAATCTCGCGACGCCCTCGTCGCGGACTCCACGTGAAATGCCTCGATCAAGTCCTTGTGACGCCATAATGAAAGCTCATTCTCCCAAGTGATGTCGCTTTCTGGCCGCCCCTTCTTCCACTTGACAAGATACTCCACATAGCTTGGGTGAACGCCACGCCTAGGCACAACACGATGAGCCATGATCTCCTCCACTTCGTGCTCATGTGTTGTGGTGACGAGAGTTGGTGCCCTCGTCGACTCCTTCCGCGCTCTGTCTTCCTTGTCTTCATGATATGGCTTCAATTGACTCATATGAAAGACGGGGTGAATCTCCAAGTGCGATGGCAACTCAACTTTGTACGCCACCGTGCCAATCCGCTTCACAATCGGATATGGCCCTTCATATCTTCGCAGCTGCCCCTTGTGCACATTTTTTAGGTGCTTGAATCGATGAGGGAAGAACTTCACCATCACCAAGACTCCCTTCTCGAATTCCAAGTGACGCCGCTTCTTATCCGTCCACTTCTTCATCTTCTTCGTTGCTCGAGCGAGACAAGACTTAGCCAACTCCATCTTCTCGTGTCAACCTCGTGCAAGCTTGTAGGCAGATGGGCTGTTGCCTTTGTACCCCATCGTCACCGTATTAGGTGTCAATGGCTGTTGCCCGGTAGCCAACTCGAACAGGCTCATGCTCGTGGCTTCACTTCGGTGCAAGTTGTAGGATAATTGGGCTACATCAAACAACTTCACCCAATCCTTCTGGTTGGCACTCACATAATGCCTCAATTAGACCTCCACCAAAGATTGACCCGCTCGGTTTGCCCATCCGTTTGAGGATGAAAGATCGTGGAGAAGTTTAGATCGAAGCCCATCATCTTGAACAACTCCCTCCAAAACTTGCTGGTGAGGGGGCCATCTCTATCGCTGACGATGCTAACCAGGATGCCCCAATACTTCACAACATGCTTGAAAAACAAGTGGGTTGCATCTTCGGCCGTCATGTCTTTGGACCCCGCGATGAAGACGCCATAATTCGAAAATTGATCGATGACGACCATGATGGAACCACACCCTTCGACTTTGGGAAGGCCGATGATAAAGTCCATTATGACACTTTCCCAAGGCCGTTGTGGAGTGGGTAATGGCTCCAACAAGCCTGCCGGACTCCGCTGCTCCATCTTGTTTTGATGGCAGACAAGGCAAGTCTTGACGTAGAGTTCCACGTC